ATATATAGGGGCCTAATCAAATGAGAACCGATTAGTTTGTGGTAACTGTGAGGTCCAATCTCAGCCACAAATCAACGGATAAATTAGGAAATTAATAATTATGGTAGTTTGAGTTAAAATTATAATTAGAGGGCATATTTGGTATTTTTTTTAAAACTCATCTCTCCTCCTCTCTCATCTCTGCGACCTCCAATTTCCGGCCTCCGGTGAAATCGGTATCACAGTATATTACAATGGGTATCACATTGTGTATCCTTGTTTTTAAGGTTTGAGTTGGTATCATAGTTGGTATCACAATGGTATCACAGTATATCACAATGGGTATCACATTGTGTATCTTTGTGATTACTTGGTACCTGCCGGATTAATGTTCACCGGAGGCCGAAGATTGGAGGTCGGAGAGATGAAAGAGGAGAGAGGAGATAGGATTTTTTTTTAAAAATACCTAAAAAGCCCTCTAATTATAATTTTAACTCAAACTACCATAATTATTAATTTCCTAATTTATCTGTTGATTTGTGGTTGAGATTGGAACTCACAGTTACCACAAACTAATCAGTTTTTCTTTGAATGAGCCCCTATATATATATATATAGAGAGAGAGAGAGAGAGAGAGAGAGAGAGAGATGGTTCTTTTGAGAGTCCAATAAATTGTGATAACTTTGAGAACTTGTGCATCATGTTTTATGTCATATGATTTCTTTTCCATCTAAGATTAAGATATAAAATATTGATTAACATATATTTGGTTTACATGTATTCGGTTCACAATGTGAACCCATTTGGGAGTTAAGACCATTCCAATGCCCCCTTTCGCCATGCATGAACTAAACCAACGATTAAGATAAGCACTAAAATTAAAGCTTCTACAAATACGGATACACCTAACACATCGAAACTCATTGCCTATGAATAAAGAAAAACCGTTTCAATTTTGACATGATTGCAAGACAAAATATACACGTGAAAAAATTTTATATTGTGAACCAAATACATATATAATAAACACACTATGAAACAAATAATGTTAATTAATATATTAAATATTATATTTAGACTAAAAAAAATCATGTAAAATAAAATCTCACTGGTTTTTAAAATTCTAAAAGTTTTTTAAATGATTAAACCCCTGGTTACTAAAAGAAATGGGTTGAGAATTGAGATGAGATGTTTAACCAACCTCAGAAGGTGACAATGTGCCATGATTGTGAAGCAAAACATACACATAAAAAAGTTTCATATATAATAAACATATTATAAAACAAATATATGTTAATTAATATATTAAATATTATATTTAGACTGGAAAAAATATGTAAAACAAAATCTCACAGGTTTTTAAAATTCTAAAGTTTTTTTAAGTGATTAAACCCCTGTGCTAGAAGAATGGGTTGAGAATTGAGATTAGATGTTTAACCAACCTTAGAAGGTGACCGGGCCTCAAAGAATTTAGGCCCAAGTTAAAAAAGCGTAGCTAACATATATAATATGGCCAGGGACGCAGGGTCTTCTCCCACATCGGCCATTGTTGCAATATAAATTCTGTTTATATTTTAACGAAACGGAGACGAAGACACGACCTTACTTGAACAGGATCTGTTCTATAGGCTCGTACCTCTGTATTCTTGATTCCTAAGAAGACAGAAACCCATATCTGGTTGATGAACCACGACCATGTAACCAGAGCGTGATTAACAGGTAACCATGGTCTCGATCATGACCCAGTAGATGATCGTTGCCATCCCATCTGATGGGTTCTGGCATGGTTACATGGTTGTCTGACAGATAACTAACTTTTTATTCTTTTTTGTTTCGTTTATGCTTGCATAGCAAGTGCTCAGCGAAATGCCTGAATGAGGTTATGTGTCTTCTACAGGTATGATTCATCTTTGCTTTAATCACAGACTCAAGTAACCAAAGCAAACGAACCACTTCTTTTAGACTTGAACATTGTATCACCAACAAAATAGCTAGCGGTGATAACTTAAGTAATCCTAAAAGAATAGCTCATAAGTAGGGGTGTTAAAAGCTTACCAGGTTCGAGCTCGCCTCAAACTCAGAATAACTTTCTAACAGTACTGCGAACGTGTAAGTWGGACAGGAAAATCTTGTGATGTTAATTCTATCATTAGATATTTTCTTCCTTTTTAGGTTATCTAGAAAAAGTTTTAACATTTTCTCTTGTTTCAATTTCTAATCAGTCAAACCCCACAAGGCTACTTGGCTTTGCAAATGTTCTTAGGAAGTTTATGTTATTTCTACCTGGACGAGCTTCATAAGCTTCTAACTATGCAAACCACAATGTTTGTAATGCCTACATTCGCCTTCGCTTACATCCAATCTTTTGTCCAGGGGAAAAGAGGTAGGCATGATGGGTGAAGGATACATGTGGATTATAACCGGTAAGACTACAAACTTCCTGGATTCCTTGGATGTTGAAACTATAGCGTTGATGCAGGGGGCAGTGGGTTCCAAATCATATTTTCCAGCATCAAGGGAGCTTCATGATTTTGAGTTGAATTGGAGAAAGGAATATTTTTCTCTAAACCCTTTTAAGGAGTTTAAGGAGCTGGATCCTAATGGTATATGGGCATATGATGCAGTTTGTGCACTAGCAATGGGTGTTGAAAGGGTACAAACTACAATTCCACAACTAGAAKRACATGCTACCGAWTWRSYTYMAAARRWTTKRMCMMCMWTWRKKG